CAGGATGGCTTGTGCATCAGTAGGAGCTAATTCCCTCCTCACATGATTGAATTTACAGACAAAGGAATCCAATATCTATCCCCCAGTGATTTGGAAAGTGCTGATATTGGCCATGCGAAATGTTGTACTCACAAAAGTAAGACAACTCCAGTGATAAGCAGGTGCATGCCTGGTTTGTTTTACACAGGGAGAACTGCCATTTAGTGAAAAGTTAGAAAAATATGGCGTGGGGTCCAGGGGACCACCTAGGCCAAAGACATCCTTGGCGCCCCAAAAAATGGAAATCAGCCAATAATTGGAAATATCTCATTCCTGTTTACATCTAAATGAACTGCATCCACCCATCCACCCACCCCACCCCTTTGAAAGGCATGGCTATATCAAAATTACTGAAGTTAAACATGAAATTACACTACCATTTTCTATACAACTTAAATAAAGTTCCACATCCTGAAGGATGAACCAGATCAAATCGCTTGGTCAACAAATTAAAACAGCTTTAAAACTGCAATTTCTCCAAATTTCTGGTCAAAAATTTGACCTTTTATCTGTCCTCCTGTTAGTGAAAGAGTACAATATAACATGGCAATGTATGGCAAATTACTATCTTCAAAGGTACCTTTAAGAATCCATGCAAGTGCAATTGCAAGTATGATCCATGCAAGTACAATTGCCTATAAAGATTTACTGGCTAGGGAAAAAATACAATATTACTAGAAACTGAATTTTTCTGGTTGGAAGCCAATAATTCTGTATATTATAAACCTGAACTCCTGTAAAACCATTTATAAATATATAGTAATCATGTGCTTCATCATTATACCCTCCATTCAAACTTCTACATTTATAAGCTATATTTAAAGAGGAAATTTTTTTATCCAGCAGGCCAAACTAGTAGTTTTATTTTAATTAGTTTTAAAGGGTGCTGTTCAAACCAAATTCCATATGAATAAAATGTTGATACCTTGGTAATGTTAAGTGAGCACGTGTCTCATCTCCTATAGCCCCAAATTAAGGTACCCTTAGGCTAGCTATTCTTTTTCATCTCCCCCCCCCCCCCACACACACACACACAAACAGAATGAGCTCCACAATTTTGCCATTCCGATACCCTAC